ACTGGGAATGTGAAGAAACAGGGTGAGAAGGGGAGGGATTAGGGAAAAGGGCAATGGAAAGGGAGGATTTAAAACAAGCTGAGATGCAAAAAAGATGACCCTCCCTCACCGTTGACGTAAAAACTGTCCTGGTCTAGGATGTAGAGGTCCAAGTGGGTGAAACCACCTGTCAGCAGGCTCAGCTCCCAGTACAACCGCTCCCTGTCCAGTCCGGGGACCACAGGGTCAGGGCGGTGTGTGCAGACAATGTCCACTCCAGTGGCTGTCCCTTTCTTCTTGGGCCTGGAAAGGGTGGATGACGGGGGGGGGGAGGTGGTGACAATAAATGAAGTGAATTCCTAGGGAGGGATCTTGACAGTTCTGGGGGCAGGACAGGGATGAGCCATAGGAAATGAGGAGGTGGTAGAGAGGTGAGAAGTTTGACTTAGATTCTCTGAGCTCACTGACTCAGGTCTTCCTCACACTGTGAGCAGAGTCAGTGGGTAGAAAAATTATTAAATTACAAGATAGCAACTGTCAGTGGGTGAGAAAATTATGATTAAATTGAAATTCAGAAACCTGTATCCTTAAGGCCTGGGGACAGGAAAGCTCATATAAGAGACATGTAGAGAGATGGAATTTGGGATTAAAGCAAGTGGAAGACACATTTGTCTTGAGAAAAATGCTGGAAACAGAATTGAAAACCTAAAGGAAATGCCCTCACTGGTCAAAGGGAGGGAAGAAGAAACAGAAGGATGATAGCAACTGTCAGTGGGTGAGAAAATTATGATTAAATTGAAATTCAGAAACCTGTATCCTTAAGGCCTGGGGACAGGAAAGCTCATATAAGAGACATGTGTAGAGATGGAATTTGGGATTAAAGCAAGTGGAAGACACATTTGTCTTGAGAAAAATGCTGGAAACAGAATTGAAAACCTAAAGGAAATGCCCTCACTGGTCAAAGGGAGGGAAGAGGAAACTTAGAAGGATGATGACCAGACTAGGGATCCAATCCTGCTGATGAGCTCTGCAGAATCTGGGACAGTTGGTGGGAGGAGATACAGTCAGAAGAAGCACTGGTCCTGGAGCAAACACCTCCTGAATTCCACTTCTCAAAACACAGACAGGGAGGGCAGGAAGAAGCAGAACAAACTCGTCAGATCTAGAAGCACCCAAGGCTGCTCTGGCTAGCTATTCAAGGTCTTACCTGAGGCGGGTCAGCCTGCAGCCTGAGTAGAGGGTGCCCACACTAGTATTCTTGAACAAGGCCTTGAGCTGTGGGTGAGGACAAAGGAAATAAATTGATGGGTGGAGAGGGAGGGGCAAGATGGTCATCTATGGTTGGACAGGAGTGACATGGGCAGGGCTAGCACTGATGGACAGGGCAGGAGTGGGAGGGGTTGTCATCAGTGGGCAGGAGGGAGTTTAGGTAGATGGTTTCAATGAGCAGGAGAGGGTACATGGGTGGCTGGCATCAATGTCCTTGGCAGAGGTCAGGCGGGCAGATCTAGCACCATGGGCAGGGCTCTCACCAGGGGCTGCAGGGACTTCTCGGTGGTATTGAATTTCAAGGAGCCTGGAGGCCACATGTCATCTGTGTAGTGCAGGTTAGTGATGGTGAAGTTGAGGGTAAAAGGCACCAGGGGTGGTCCTGTGGCTGCAACAGGGGAGGGAGAGGAGAGCCCACACTGAGTCAGGCCTGGGGTGGGTGTAGTGGGCAGGGCCTGAGGCCATGATCCTAAGACCACTGGCCATCTCACTGGAGACACAGTGAGGGCTGATGGTCCTTGTGGCCTGATTCCAGAATCAACAGTGTTGAGGTTAGACCATCACATGCAGCAGGTGAAGGAGGGAACAATTTGGAAGCTTATTCAGCTTTGAAGACGATTTACATCTAAACTTATTATTTCAAATCAGTTGCTAACTTGTTTTCCTCCATCCATCCACCCAACCAACATTTAATGGCTATTTCTGTGTTCAGGTGACAACACAAAAGTGATTCACAGCTGTGTGGTATTGCAATGGCTCCCCAGCCTGTGTCCCCCGACCCTTCCTCTCCCTGAGAGCTGGAGATGTGGGCAGGGGTTGTCGCTTCCTTTCCTGGTAGGGTAGAGGGGCTTCTAAAGGCTACTCATCAGTACTCACCATGGGGGTAATTTGTAATACCCTAACTAATAATAATAAAAAATAAATAAATAAAGGCTACTCATCAGTACTCACCATGGGGGGTGGTTTCTGAAGTCTGGTGTGTGTAACCTGCAGAGAGAGAGAGCAAGAGAGGCAGAAGGTGCTGTATGTAGGGAAGGAATAAAAAAGGCATGCAGGGGGAGAATGAGGGCTCAGCAATACACAAGGGAAAGGTGGCCACTGCTCACCATTGACATAGAGACTGCCCTGGTCCAGGGTGTAGGGACCCAACTTGGTGACACCTTGGGTCAGCTGGCTCAGCTCCCTGTACAGCTGCTTTCTGTCCAGCCTGGGACCTGCAGGGTCAGGACGGTAGTTGCAAACTGTGTCCACACTGGTGGCTGCTCCATCTCTTTCCGGCCTATGGAGGTAGGGACACAGAGGCAGAGACAATGAGGATCCATCTGCAAGAATCCACCAAAAAAGTGATTAGGACAACAAATACAACAAAGTTTCAGATATAAAACTGATGTACAAAAATCTACTGCATTCCTATAGACTAACAATAAAATTTCAGAAAAAATAAATACCCGCCCCCCAACCAATTCTATTTGCAATTACAACAAAAAGAGTAAAATACCTAGGAATAAACTGAACAAAAAATGTGAAGGACCTATACACTGAAAACTACAAGACATTTTGTTAAAAAAAATTGAGGAGGACAAAAAGACAATCATGAATTAGAAGACTCAACATCAAGAGCCATATTACTTAAAGCAATATACAGGTTTAATGCAACCCCCATCAAAATCCCAATGGCACTTTTCAGAGAGTATAACAAATAATTCATCAAATTTGTATGAACCACACATAAAAAAACCTGGATAGCCAAAGCAATCCTGAGAAAAGAAGAACAAGGTCAGAAGTAGCATACTCTCTCACTTCAAATTATACTACAGAGTTACAATAATCAAAACAATATGGTTTTGGCAGAAAAACCGACACGTATACAAATGGAACAGAACTGACAGCCCAGAAATAAACTCACACATATATGGGCAACTAATTTTCTACAAAGGATCAAAAACATATAATGGAGGGGAAAAAAGCCTCTTTAGTAAATAATGTTGGGAAAATTGGAAAGCCACAGGCCAAAGGATGAAACTAGACTGTTATTGGACACCATACACAAAAATTAAATCAAAATGGATCACAGGCCTAAAATAAGACTGGTAACAACAAAATAAATAGAAAAGAAACATAGGTACTAAACTTATGAATTTTGGTCTCAGAGAAGCTTCTGTGACTTTGTTCCCAAAATCAAGGGAAGTAAAAGTAAAAATAAATGAATGTGACTGCATCAAACTAAAAAGCTTCTGCACAGCAAAAGAAACCATCAACAAAACAAAAAGGCAAAAATGAGGGAAGATATTTGCAAACAATACCTCTGATAAGGGGCTAATATTCAAAACATATAAACAATTCATACAACTCAACAACAAAGAACAAACAATCCAATTAAAAATGGGCAGAGGACCTGAACAGACACTTTTCCCAAGAAGACATACAAATGGCCATTTACACACATATGAAAAGATGCTCAACTTCACTAGCTATAAAGAAAATGCAAATCAAAACTAGAATAGGATACCATTTTACCCCTGTTAGAATGGCTATTATCAACAAGACAAGAAATAACAAGTATTGGACAGGATGTGGAGAAAAAGGAACCCTCATTCACTGTAGGTAGGAATGCAAACTGGTATAGCCACTATGGAAAACAGTATGGACTTTCCTCCAAAAATTAAGCATAGAATTACCACATGATTCAGGAACCTGTCTTCTGGATATCTACTTGAAATTTTTTGAAAACATTTATTTAAAAATATATGTGCACCCCTGTGTTCATTGCAGCATTATTCACGAAGCCAAGACATGGAAATAACCTAAATATCCTTTGATGGGTGATTAGGTAAAAAATATGTGGTAGCTATGTGCCATGGAATACTACTCAACCACAAGAAAGGATGAAATATACAGATTTGATGACAGCATGAATGGATATTGAAAGTATCATGATAAGTGAAATAAATCAAATGGAAAAAATAAGAAGCTTATGATTTCACTCATATGTGGGATAGAAAACAGAAAGCAACAAATGAACTAACAAAACCAACAAAGTCATAGGTGCAGACAACAGGAGAGGTTGAGGGGAGCTTGAACTTTCCTCCAAAAATTAAGCATAGAATTACCACATGATTCAGGAACCTGTCTTCTGGATATCTACTTGAAATTTTTTGAAAACATTTATTTAAAAATATATGTGCACCCCTGTGTTCATTGCAGCATTATTCACGAAGCCAAGACATGGAAATAACCTAAATATCCTTTGATGGGTGATTAGGTAAAAAATATGTGGTAGCTATGTGCCATGGAATACTACTCAACCACAAGAAAGGATGAAATATACAGATTTGATGACAGCATGAATGGATATTGAAAGTATCATGATAAGTGAAATAAATCAAATGGAAAAAATAAGAAGCTTATGATTTCACTCATATGTGGGATAGAAAACAGAAAGCAACAAATGAACTAACAAAACCAACAAAGTCATAGATGCAGACAACAGGAGAGGTTGAGGGGAGCTTTTAGAGGGTAAAGGGGTCAAATATATAGTGATGGAAGAGGACTAAACTTTGGCTGGTGAGCAAACAATGCAATATACACGAGTATTACAGAATTACACACTTGAAATTTATATGTTTGGTTATTAACCCATATCACCCCAATGAATTCAAATAAAAAATGAACATATGCAGTGTGGGTTGGGGGAATGGTAGGCTGTGGGTTTATTCTTTGTGAAGGATCAGGGATGCATCCTTATGAAAAAATTTGGTGCATACTTTCAGGTTATTATGTTTTGTTTTGCTCCTATTAAATATTGCGTGTGAGATTAGAGACTCCTGAGGATGAAAAGGTCCAGTGCAGGGACCAGGGGCCAGAACTGGAGGGATAGTGGCTGTTTCAGGTGGGGAGCAGAAAAAGGCTGAGATAAAAGGGAGGGCCCAGCCCTAGAGGACTGTGGATAAAATCTCCACTGTGCCTCACAGGGACATCTTCGGTGGTCTTACCTGAGCAAGGTGAGTCTACAGCTGGAATAGAGGAGGCTGATACTGGTGTTCTTAAACAAGGGTCTGAGCTGTTGAGGGAGGAGAAAGAGGTGAGTAGAAGGACTGATAGGGAAGGGCAGGGGCAGGGCTGGGATGAGATGAGCAGGGCTGGCATCAGTTGGAAGGCAGGAAGAGATGAATGAAGCATAGGAGAGGTGGGGGACTGATAGCAGTGGGCATGGTGGGGATCAGTGGGCAGTGTAGGAATGAGGTGGGCAGAAGGAGCCTTACCAGGTGCTGCAGGATCTTTTCTATTTTGTTGAACTTTACTGAGCTCGGATGTTGCATGTCTTTCATGTAGTGCAGGTTTGTTATGGTGAAGTTAAGGGTGAATGGCACCAGGGCAAGGACAGAGACTGTAATAAAGTTGAGAGGGAAGGTATCACACCCTGAATCACTGCCTGTACTAAATTTAGGGGTTAGGGGCAGAGGGGTGGAATCAGTCTGGTATTCACATCTGCTGCAAAAGCTCAGACTATTTCTCCCCAGAATAGGAAAGCTTTATATTGAACAACATTAATAATAGTAATCTATACTAATAAAAGGGTAATATGCTAATTAGACTGGATGTCTTCTGGACATCCACCCAGATGTCCTTCTGGACAAAGCCACAGTGGTGGGGGGCAAGGCAGAGGCGGTTAGGGGTGATCAGGCAGGCAGGGAAGAGCAGTTAGGCACGACCAGACCAGCAGGGGAGGGCAGTTAGGGGCGACCAGGCCAGCAGGGGAGGGCAACTGGGAGTGATCAGGCTGGGGGCAGAGGTGGTTAGGGGCTATCAGGCATGTAGGCAGAGACAGTTAGGGGTGATCAGGCAGGTATGCAGAGTGGTTAGGAACGATCAGGGAGGCAGGCGAGTGGTTAGGAGCCAGCAGACCCAGATTGCGAGAGGGATGTCCTGGTTTGGAGAGGATGCAGACTTGGCTGAGGGACCCCCAACCCGTGCATGAATTTCGTGCACTGGGCCTCTAGCAATAATAATAATGACAACAAAAATAACAGCAATAACAGCTGATGTTTGGTAAAGGCTTACTCTATGCTCCATTATACCCTGTGTTAGCGCTTTCTCTCTGGTATCTCATATAATCCTCACACAAACCTTGAAGGCACATCCTGTTACTTACCTCCCACCCCCTTCCCCTGCCCCCCAACTGAAAGAGATGAAAATGAGTGTCAGAAAGATTAAGGGACTTTCCCAAGGCCACACAGCTATTTTAGGGCAGAAGCTCAGGCTCTAGATTTTATCCTCACACTGCCCTCTTGCCTTGATCTGCCCATGTATACTGTCTTGACTTCTCATTGTGAAGCACAGAGGCATGCAGCTTAGAAAGCAGTAGACGTAGAGAGAACGCTCTTACCTGTAGAACTGAAGGAGATTGGAGCCAATGAGTTTCTCAAGGAGGGTGTAGAAGTCATAGACACTGAGGTGGAAGCATCAGAAATAAGAATAATGCAGTTTCACCTTGGAGATGCCAGAGACAATTTGGCCTTGATGCCCAAACTGAGTTGAAGTTAGGAGGGGGTGGTCATAATAAGGACTCTAAGGCTTCCTTTCACCACACTGAGGCCTTATCCATAGGGAGGAGGAACCAACTACACCCACCAATCACTGTGAGGTCACAGGGCCTTCTAAGGTTTGGACACTTACCACTGGGGATGGATGTCAAGACTGGTCTGGTGTAACCTGCAGAATGGGTAAGAGTGAGATGGGCTGTTTTCAAAGGTTATTAAGAAAGGGGTGAAGCGGTTGGACCACAGGTGTAAGAGAAGAGTAGATGCCATCAAGATGTTGTGCCCCTACAGACGGTGACTTGTGCCTCCTATAAGCTTTCTGTGACTTCCCATCACTCTCTGGGTGTGGCATATACACATATGGTGGAGAACAGGGACCTCACAAGGAGTGGAAGAGTGAGGAGAGAGAAATCCAGAAGCAGACATGAATGTATCCTCTGGTCAGAGCTCAGAGCAGCAACAAAAGAATCCAACTGGTGCTGCATAGGACATTTTTACCACCAGAGGCTCACCATTGACATAGAGATGATCCCTATCTAGGATGTAGGGATCAAGCCAGGTGACACCATGGGTCTGGTGGCTCAGCTCCCAGTAGAGCTGCTCCCTATCCAGCATGGGGCCTGCAGGGTCAGGATGGTAGGTACAAATGGCATCAACTCCAGTGGCTGTTTCACCCTTTTCAGGCCTGGGGAGAGAAGGACATAGATATGGAAACAGGACTGAGGCATCTTGGCAGAACATCTTTCCTCAGCCCCCTTGTATGTGGATGCCTGCTTATCTGCTCTCCTGGTCTAGGCATGAGCACTCACAAGACAAGGGGCATCTTTGAGCCACAAAGTACCAGAGTGGGGATTGACTTTATTTTATTTTAATCCTCACCCAAGGACAATTTTTCCCATTGATTTTTAGAGAGAGTGGAAGGGAGGGGGAGAGACAGAGAAAGAAAACCACTGATGTGAGAGAGACACATTGATTGGTTGCCTCTCACACATACCTCAATTGGGGCCAGGGATTGAACATGCAACAGCAGTATGTGCTCTTGACTTGAATCGAACCTGGGATCCTTCAGTTTGAGGGCCAAAGTTCTAACCACTGAACTACCATCTAGGGCTAGACTGGATGTTTTAGAATCAGACACCCATCAATTCAACCTTAGTGCTGTCACTTGTTGAATAATCCACATGGCTTCTCTGACTCAGTTCTCCCATCTTTGCAGCATGGAGTGTGCTGTAACCACTTTGGTGCAACATCATGGGATTCAGAAATGTTTGATATAAAATACCCAGCCCTCCTGCCAAGTATATTAGAAGTGCTAATAATTAATTAATTGTTTAATTAAACAAATATTTACAAAGCACCCATAGTTCCCTAAGGAAAATGTAGAGTAGCTCTGAATAAAAGACTCATCAGCTCTTGGAAAACTGATCTAGGCCAAGTTGTAGATGTGAGCATCTAAGCATGAGACACTGCATAGCGGACTCCTACCACTGCCCACCTGCCTCTTGCATTACCAACTCTCTGAGGCAGCAGGGAAAACTTAGCCTGAAGGGATAACCTGGGAGACCCTGCAGATTACACTAGCATAGAGAGAGCATAAAGGGGGCAGGGGAGTGTGTGTGTGTGGGGTGGGGAGGCAGTGTCCCTTGTACCTCAGCAGGATGGAAGCTACCCGGAACTAAGCTGCTTCTAGCTCTGGTCTCCTACTTGACAAAGGTGCAGTGTCAGTTTCATTACCTGTTGGTGCTGATTTGACCTGCATCTTTCCTGCGAGTACATTAAATGGACATTTTTAACCAGCAGGAAGCTATAGGTTTGGGTTGGGAGAGTGGGGTGGCCCTGTTAACTGGGCAGAACTGTTAACAATAGATTAATTTCCTTTTGGGGCATGGGACATCTGAGCCAGGGTGGCTCCAGCACCTATTCATTGAGGTTTCATTTCTTTGCACATGGACTGTTACCTGGAATGCCAAAATAATAACCCTTCAACTGCCGAGAGCTTTCTTGCAAAACATAAATGTCCAGTGCCACCCTGCTGTTTCCTGTCTACATCCTTCTAACTAAAACTGGAGTTATGTCTGTCCCATTCAGATCTTGCAAAGCTGACTGTCTGATTGGATGGCCTAGAGCAGTGGTTGGCAAACCACGGCTCATGAGCCACATGCAGCTCTTTGGCCCCGAGTGTGGCTCTTCCACAAAATACCCCGTGTGGGCGTGCACGTACAGTGCGATTGAAACTTCGTGGCCCATGCGCAGAAGTCGGTTTTCAGCCTGGGCGAGTCTATTTTGAAGAAGTGGCGTTAGAAGAAGTGGGGGTACGTTCTCTGAGGTCGACCCATCAGATTGAGGACGTTTTGGCAAAGGCCAGTGTAGGAGTACCCTAATTGTAGTCAGTCTGCAGCCAGTGTAGAGTGAGCCAATGCTGCTGTTGGTGAACAAAGGCCCAAGCTGAGAAGGAAGGAGTAGGTGAATAAAAAATAAAAATAAAACTAATCATCATTTAACACAATGTTTTTAAAAAACACACAACAGTTCTCTAATCTTCTCATACCACATTTAATTCTCAAAAGGACCCTTTGTGATAAATGATTTGCTGTCTCAGTTTCACAGATGAGGAAACAATACCAGAAAGACTAATCACTACTCCAAAGTCACACCTTTGACTAATGAGTTTGCTGACCACTGGCCTAGAGTGAGCAGGGCACAGCACTAGCACTAGGGCTGGGAATAGAGTGAGGTAAGCAAGGCATCCAGATACAAGATATAAGGACATGCTAACTCTCAGGGCTGTGCAAGCATAGGGTTAGCACCTGAAGGTGAGCATCTCCTTAAATTTTGTGCTCGAGGCACCTCACTTCCCATAGCTCAGTCTATCAGCAGTTCTCAACCTAGTGAGCCAATGCTGCTGTTGGTGAACAAAGGCCCAAGCTGAGAAGGAAGGAGTAGGTGAATAAAAAATAAAAATAAAACTAATCATCATTTAACACAATGTTTTTAAAAAACACACAACAGTTCCCTAATCTTCTCATACCACATTTAATTCTCAAAAGGACCCTTTGTGATAAATGATTTGCTATCTCAGTTTCACAGATGAGGAAACAATACCACAAAGACTAATCATAATCACTACTCCAAAGTCACATCACTTGTCTGTGGCAGTTCCAAGTTTTGAACCTGGAACTGCCTGCCTCCCTAGCCCTCTATATCCTCTGAAATTGTAGCAAGGAGGGGTGGAGTGGAAATTAGAAAGAAAAGTGGGTAGCAGGGGGCTCTCACCAGATATTGTAGAATTAACTCGGTGGAGTTGAACTTCGCAGAGCCTGGATGCATGTCCTCTGTGTAGTTCAGGTTGGTGATGGTAAAGTTGAGAGTGAAGGACATGAGGGCAGGGCCAGCAGCTGCAGTGGAGAGGGGAAGGAGAAGCCATGTTCTAAATCAGCATTGGACCAGATGTGGGGAAAAGGGTCATGGAACACAACCCCTGCCTGCTCCGGGGACCCCATCAGCTTGGACATAAAAGGGAGGGGGTGCCCATGACTGCAACGAAAATAATTTCATGGTTGGGTCACAACATGAGGAACTGTATTTAAAGGGCCAGAAAGTTGAGAACCACTGATAGGAACTTAATTTCCTTGAATTTTATCCTAGAATCCCAAGACAACTCCAACTGACATGGTAGCAACTTCCTGGGGTGTTTTGTTGTAAGGATTCTGAGGCTGTCTTGAGCTCAGAAAGAATGGGTGCTATTATCATTTAGTAATGTCTGCCATGGAGGAGGGAGTGGGGAGTGCTGACACAGATGCCATACATTTGTACTGGGTAGAATCAGACAGTCATTAAAGTTTAGAATGGGAAGGAAAGGAGGATTTCCATACATCATACTTCATTCCTTTGTTTCCTGGGAGAGCCACATGTTTCCTATAGACCTACATGAGCAAGTCACTACAATGGATTCTAAGGAGCACAAAGGAGGAAGACACAGTTGCTCAATACAGCAGGTTTACTTAATACTTAATTCAACAGAAATATACATAATGTTCAAATACATAATACACACAAGAGTGTATAATATATTTACTTTTAAAACTAAGCAACAGGATTTAGAGTGATAAATAAAAGGTTCCCATGCCTTTCTTGCCTATAATGATAGAAAGTTGTTAAAAGGATATTAAATAATACTAGATTCTGAACATAGCACTTTGTTCGTATTCAATACTCACTGTATTCAGATATTATCTGTTATCTTTTGATCATCACCATCATCACTGTCAACATCTTTATCATCACCATCACCATTATTGTCACTATCAACATTATTGTCACCGTCCGTTATTATCATTATCACCATCTCATCATCATCATCACCACAAGTACCATCACCATCTACACTAATAAAAGACAAAGATACTAACTGACTGTACCTTCGCTACACCCATCAGCCAATCAGAAGTGTATGCAAATTAACCCAACAAAGATGGCCGTTAATTTGCATGCTGCAGGCAGGGCAGGACAGCACCATCTGCCACCTGCCCTGCGCCATCCGGGCCTTCCATGTGCAACCCAGGGCAAGCCTTTCTCAGGTTTTCTGTGATTATACCAGCTCCACACTATGCTCTCCTTCTATAGTAGGATTCTTTCTTTTTAAAAAAAAAATATATTTTATTGATTTTTTACAGAGAGGAAGGGAGAGGGATTGAGAGTTAGAAACATCGATCAGCTGCCTCCTGCACACCTCCTACTGGAAATGTGCCTGCAACCAAGGTATATGCCCTTGACCAGAATCGAACCTAGGACCTTTCAGTCCACAGGCCGATGCTCTATCCACTGAGCCAAATCAGTTAGGGCATAATATATATTCTTAAATCAAAAGAATATGAAATCTATAAGGCAGAGATTTTTTAAAATTTCATATTCCCTGCTGTATTCCCACTCCAGCATAGTGTAGATGCTCAATAAAGTTTGTTGACTAATTATTACTAGATTTACTATGACTTTCCATCTTTGAGTGAATAATGTCAGAGATGTTTGCAATCATCAAGCACTCTCTAACAGATGTGCCAATAACTGGTACTTACCTGTGGGGCTGGAGAATGAAGGTGGAGTTCCAAAGTTCTCTTGCTCAACTGTGGATGTCCCAGGAGCTGCAGAAAAGCCCTTGTCAGTGAAAGCAGAAAGGCACTCACATGGCAGAAACGCCAGCAGGAGGTATTATTTATTGGGCTTACTGCATGTGGGGCTTAAGCTGGGATTCCCTCTAGAGCTGGGGAGGAGGGGACAGTAAGTAATGTGTGCCCTCCCGGGAACTCCTCCCTCTTGGAAAGGACATACGTGGGCATGAGGAGGGCTCAGCTCCGTTCCTGCCTGGTGTTGGGGGCCTTGGGACACCAGTTGAATACTCACTGCTGGTGATGAGTGTGGAGCTCTGATGGGTGAAACCTATAGCAAGCAAAAGGGAGGCTAGTGGGTAAGGGTTCAGGGAGAGGTGGGGGACCAAATATGGGTCAGTGAAAAGGAGGGGGTTTCATGGAGTAGAGGCTGTTGGGGGTCCTCCAATAGCACCCTCACATCAGGAAAGAAGACCCTGAGGGTGAAGTCAGTCTAAGATGAAGAAGAAACCATGAGTCCAAATCATTCAGTGCACTAGGCTAAGGCCCTAGAGGTCATTCAGGAAATGTGATCTCAAGTTAGAGGGCAGAGGCTACTAGTAAAGAGGAAGAGATCATATTGCAGCTGCTCACCATTGACATAGAGACTGTCTCTGTCCAGCATGTAGGGTCTCAGCATGTTGCTGCCATGGGTCAGCTGTCTCAGCTCCCAGTACAGCTG